GGTCGTGGTGGTGGAGCTGGTGGTCGTGGTAGTGGTGGTGGTGACGGTAGTCCGCCTGAGGGGACTACCACCGGTGGGCAGGAGCAGACGCAGTCGCCTCCACAGCAGGAGCAGCCCCAGCAGCAGATGCTGTCACAACAGCAGCCGCCGCAGCCGTGCGCTCGTCTCCTGCCTGGTTGGCCCGGCACCTCCGGAGGTGGTGGCAGTGGTGGCGGCCCGCGCAGCTTGGCGTCTACCGGCAGCTCCGGTGCTGTTACCTGCCAGTACCAGCTTCAGACCGGGCCTCTCCACGGCACTCTGTGCCGCCGCCCGCACCCGACCGCCCGCTGTTTCCGTCGCCTCGACGATCTCTGTCGTCGTCGCTTTGGCCCGGCCCCAGACCTCCCTGACTGGCACAGCCTGCTCCGCCAGGGCGTGCCGATCTTTGAGTTGGACATGGATCAGATAGGTGCTGCTTTGCATGCCTTGTATTCTGACGCTTCTAGTGGTGCTGGATCTTATTTCCCTGTGTACTCTAGTTTAGGTGTCGCACCCTTGTGTAGCTTAGCCTCCCCTGCTGCATCAGGCATAGGACTACCTAGTTTGCCTAGCCTATTTTCTGCCCCGGCCTCCGCTACTCCCTCGCTGTACTTCACTCTCGACTCTGGTGCTTCTGCCTGTTTCTTTCGCGACTGCTCCACGCTCACGCCGCTTGCTGCGCCTGCTGTTGTCTCTCTCGCTGACCCCTCTGCGGGTCCTGTCATCGCTCGCAGTTCCACTTCCCTTCCCTGTCCAGCTGTTCCCTCGGGCTCTCTTACAGGCCTCCACATCCCCTCGTTCTCGAGGAACCTGGTTGGTGTCGGCTGTCTTCAGGACCTCGGCGTCACCACTACGTTCCCCGGGCACGAGCGCTTCGCTGTCTGTTCCGAGGCTGTCTCAGGTTCCCCCCTTGCGACGTTCCCCCGGGACCCGGTGTCCGGTCTGTTTACCCTCGACACCGCTTCCCCCCTGGTTGGTGCGTCCTCCCAGGTCGCTGCAACTTGCTCGTGTCGGTCCTTCACTCACCCGTCCCTTCTGTGGCACCACCGCTTAGGTCACCCTGCTCTCCCGCGTTTGCGTCACATGTCTCAGCACGGTCTTGTCTCAGGCCTCCCCGCGTCGCTCCCTGCCTTTTCCCCCTCGACTGCGCCACCGTGCACGCCTTGCGTCGAGGGTCGGCTACGCCGTACTCCTCACTCATCGCTTCGCCCTGCTACTGCCCCCCTTCAGACCCTGGACCTTGACGTTTGGGGCATGGCCCCCGTCCCCGGACCGCGTGGTGAGCGCTACTTTCTTGTGCTCGTCAACGACTACACGCGCTACACCACGGTGTTTCCGCTGAAGCGGAAGGCTGACGTGCCCGAAGTTCTTCTACCGTGGGTTGTGGCTGCGCGTCTTCACCGCGGTCTCCCCGTATTGTGTCTCCACTCGGACCGTGGCGACGAGTTCGCCTCTGGTTGGCTTGGACAGTTCTGTCGTGTGGAGGGCATCACCCAGTCGTACACCTTGCCGGACTCACCACAGCAGAATGGGGTTGCTGAGCACCGCATCGGCTTGGTCATGGAGGTGGCTCGTACCTCCATGATCCATGCCGATGCCGCCCATTTTCTGTGGCCGTTCGCTGTTCGCTACGCTGCTCACCAGCTTAACTTGTGGCCACGCTACCAGCGGCCGCAGGTTTCGCCGACCCTCCTTTGGACCGGGTCCCCCGGTGACGCGTCAGCGTTCCACGTCTGGGGTTGCATTGCTCACGTTCGTGCCCCTGGCATGGACAAGCTCACTGCCCGCACTGTCCCCTGCGTCTTCCTTGGTTTCCCCCTGGACTCGTCTGACTGGCTCTTCTACCACCCGCTGCCTCACCGCTTCCTCCACTCTCGTGACGTCACCTTTGACGAGTCTGTCTCCTTCTACCATCGCTTCCCTCACCGAGGTCTCCCGGTTTCCCTGCCCCAGTTCCTTGCTTCCTCTCCCCCGAAAGCCCCTGCTCCCCTTCCGCCTCGTCCTGCCCTGTCTGGTGTTTCTCACGTCACTCCCCTCCCGTCGGTTGTCCCCGATGAGAAGTTTGCTGACTCTGGTGGTCCCCCCGGCTCGTCCTTGCCGCGTCCCCCTTTCCCGGTGTCCCCACCTCCACTGTCGCAGTCGCCGCCGCCGCCGCCGACATCGCAGCTGCTGCCGTCACCACCGCCGTCGCAGCCGCCGCCGCCGCCGCCGTCCCCGCCGCCGCCGCGGTTGCCGCTCTTGGCCTCTGAGGGTGCTGGCGTTGAGGAGGGTGTTCGTCCTGCGGCTCCTGGCGTAGTCTGTCCCGGCGGGCCTGCTGCTGGAGGGGGTTCTCACTCGGGGGGTGTTGGTTCTGGGGGTGCTGCCGTTGAGTGTTCTCCCGGCGGTCGTCATGCCTCTGCCGGTCCGGGGGTCGAGCATCAGCCGCCGCCGCCACCGTCGCAGCCGGTCTTCGCTCTTCGCCTGCTCGGCCTTCCCTCCCCTGATCGCTCGCCGGGTTCTCCCCCGCCACCTCCTCACCTTCCTGAATCGGCCCTGTGTTCCCGCCGCCGGACTCGTCTCCGGCCCGTCTTGTGTCCCCTCCGCTGTCTCCTGACCCTACACCTCCGTCCCATGTTTGATCTCGCCATCCCTCTCGTGCTCGTCCCGTCTCTTCTGTCCTACGCTCCCACCCTATGTTGCTCCTTTCCCATTCGTCTCGTCCTCCCCTCCTCCCGTTGCCTCCTCCCTCGTCGCTTGTTGTTGCCCCTCCCCCGCTGTCTGACTACTTCCGTGCCGCTCGTCCCCTTGTCCCTCAAGTTCTTGCCTCTCTTATTACAGATCCGTCTGTTCCTGTCTCGTGCCTTGACGCGCTTGTCGCTGCTGCCGCTGACTTCTCTACCCGCCGCCTTGACTACGCTACTGCTCTGGTCTCTGAACCTGCCCGTCCTCCGTCCGTCGGGGGTGCACCTGCCCTTGGCACTGACGTTCTAGAGGACAAGCAGTACGAGCTTGCTTTCCTTTCCGATGCCGCTCCCCATCTCTGCTCCATGCTCCTAGTCCCAGAGGGTGACCCAGACGCCTTCGACATCTTGACCCCTCGCACCTACGCTAAGGCCACCTCGGGACCCTGAGCCTCTCAGTGGATAGCTGCCATGGAGCAGGAGATGGCATCTTGGAGGTCCACCGGCACTTACGTCGACACAGTTCCCCCTCCTTGGGTGAACGTAGTCGATGGTCGGTGGCTCTTCAAGGTGAAGCGCCCCCCGTTAGAGCCGCCTGTCTTCAAGGTGTGCTATGTGGCTAGAGGCTTCAGCCAGCGTGAGGGGGTGGACTTCTTCTAGACCTTCACCCCGACCCCGAAGATGACCACTCTTCGGGCACTGCTACACATAGCGGCACAGCGCGACTACGAGCTTCACTCCCTCGACTTCTCTACTACCTTCCTTCAGGGCAGCCTACACGAGCAGGTCTATCTGCGCCGACCACAGGGCTTCACTGGTACCTTCCCCCCTGGGACCCAGTGGCTTCTCAGGCGCCCGGTCTACGGCCTGCGCCAGGCTCCCCGCGAGTGGCACGACACGCTGCGTGCCACGCTAGCAGACCTGCAGTTCTTTCCGTCCTCTGCTGACCCCTCGCTTTTTGTGCGTTCCAGCCAGACTCCATGCTACATCATTGTCTACGTTGATGACCTGGTCTTTGCTACTGCCGACAGGGACGCACTGGCCTCCGTGAAGGCCGAGCTGCTGAAGAGACACACTTGCACTGACCTTGGGGAGCTGCGTCACTATCTTGGCCTGCAGATCTCCAGGGACAGAGCAGCACGCACCATCACTCTGACACAGTCACACTTGGTGCGTCAGGTCCTTCAGAGGTTCGGTCTTCAGTTCTCCGCTGCACAGCCCACACCTCTACCTCTTGACCATGGGCTCTCCGCTCCCGTTCCTGAGGAGCCAGTAGAGCCCAGCGGCCCCTACGCAGAGCTGGTGGGCTGCCTCATGTACCTGATGACTTGCACTCGCCTAGATCTCGCATACCCTCTCAGCATCCTGGCTTGCTTTGTGGCCACCGGCAGACACCGACCACAGCACTGGTCGGCTGCTAAGAAGGTTTTACGATATCTAGCAAGTACATCGGGCATGGGGTTAGTGCTTGGAGGACGCAGGCCAGTGGTCCTTACTGGGCACACAGACGCTTCTTGGGCAGACGACGCTGAGACTCTCTGGTCGTCGCAGGGCTACTGTTTTAGCCTTGGTTCGGGTGCTATCTCTTGGAGATCCACTCGCTCGTCGTCTGTTGCTCAGTCCAGCTGTGAGGCTGAGATCTACGCCGGTGCCATGGCGGCACAGGAGCTCTGCTGGCTGACCTTCTTGCTCACAGACTTAGGTGAGCGGCCTAGCTCTGCCCCGGTCCTGTACGCTGACAACAGGGCCATGATTCTCCTGTGTCAGGAGCCTCGACTTGAGGGCAGAGCGAAGCATATCCAGCTGCGGTACTTCCTCCTGCGCGAGCTACAGCAGCGTCACCAGGCCCGCGTAGTTCACTTGGCCTCCGGTGCCAACACAGCTGATATCTTTACGAAGGCGCTTGCGCCTACAGATCATCAGCGGCACTGTGTACAGCTTGGTCTTGTTCCTGTAGCACCTCACTTGCTAGGACCTTGATAGTGTACTCCTCACTATATATACCTGTCTGACTAGCCTTGTGGCTTTACTCCCAATGGCTGGACTAGTAGTGCCGCCCTGGCTTGCTTTTGTCTTGTCTGTACTCTTGCTGATTGGTCTTCGGACCCCTGCCTCAGTGGTTGGACTAGTAGTGCCACCCTGAGCTGTGTGCTTCTTGCTTGCACCACCCCTTATCTAGCCTAGGGGGTGTGCCAACTTATACATGTCATGCGTGTAGAAGTTATAGGCTAGTATCGGTGTGTGCTCTTAGTGAGTACAACCCAACTGCTATATGTTCCCTGTTTCTCCTAGTTATTCATTCTCGTATGCTTACACTATATACTGGGGAATACGAGATACATCGAAACACCCTGAAAATCAGCAAAATCAGGAGAAAAATCCTGAAATCTCAGGGCCTGCCACATATTTGGGATGAGCGTGCTGTAGCTGAAACCGAGACCATGGAGTGCGAGGTGAGGATGGGGGGGACTCTGGGCGACCAAGGGGACCCCAAAACCAATTTGAGGGCCTGTTACACATCACATAACACAACATAAAATACAGGCATTTACAAAGGCTAATTTCATGCCACGTGTGTTTGCAAGAGCATTTGCTGCTGGCACCCCATGCACTGCTGTGCTCTACTCCTCACCGCCCAGCTGAGCGAGCCATGGCAGCAGCGCCTGGTGCACGGCCAGGGGCTGGTCGTCGTGGGGGCAGTGGCCGCAGTGGGGGAGAGTGACCAGGGTGGTGCGCGGGCGCTGCTGCGGCAGGAGCGAGAAGAAGCGCCCCACGGGGCCGTCGAGGGGCGTGAAGGGGTCCTGCTCGCCCCACAGCAGCAGCAGCGGCGCTGCGATGCGCGGCATCAGCTGCTCGGGGCGCGGGCCGGGCGGGCCAGTGAGCACCGCGATGAACACCTGCAGCGCGCCTGGGTCGTCAGCTGGGGCGCAAATCAGCTGGCGGGGGGAGGGGGCGAGCGGGAGGGGTGCAGGATGGATGGGCAGCACATGCAGAGGAGCTAGCAAGCACGTGCATGAGGCCACGTGAGGTGCATGAGGCTACGTGAGGTGCATGAGGCTACGTGAGGTGCATGAGGCTACGTGAGGTGCATGAGACCACGTGAAGTGCACAGTGCTAAGCCAGGTGCATGAGATCAAGATAAAGAGCAGGTAAAGGGTGCGATGGTTAGTTGCATGGCATGGTAATGACCCTGATTAGGGCACCATGGCTTGCATGCCATTGCCATCACCGTCACCATCACCAACGCCAAAACCCTCATCACCTGCACGCGCCCACCTCCCTCATCGCCTCACCTGCACGCGCCCACCTCCCTCATCGCCTCACCTGCACGCGCCCACCTCCCTCATCTCCTCACCTGCACGCGCCCACCTCCCTCATCGCCTCACCTGCACGCGCCCACCTCCCTCATCGCCTCACCTGCATGCGCCCACCTCCCTCATCGCCTCACCTGCACGCGCCCACCTCCCTCATCGCCTCACCTGCACGCGCCCACCTCCCTCATCGCCTCACCTGCACGCGCCCACCTCCCTCATCGCCTCACCTGCACGCGCCCACCTCCCTCATCGCCTCACCTGCACGCGCCCACCTCCCTCATCGCCTCACCTGCACGCGCCCACCTCCCTCATCTCCTCACCTGCACGCGCCCACCTCCCTCATCTCCTCACCTGCACGAGCTCGTCATCGACGGCCTCGTGGTTGCAGTACACAGCGCGCAGCACCGACGCCACGTTGTCCCTGGTGGCAGGGATAGGGCAGGCGGATGAAGGAAAGAGCTATCGGGGAAGAGGGGGGAACGAGAAGAGGGGGGAGCAGAAGAGGGGGGAACAGAAGAGGGGGGAACAGCAGAGGGGGGAACAGAAGAGGGGGGAACAGAAGAGGGGGGAACAGAAGAGGGGGGAACAGAAGAGGGGGGAACGAGAAGAGGGGGGAACGAGAAGAGGGGGGAACAGAAGAGGGGGGAACAGCAGAGGGGGGAACAGAAGAGGGGGGAACAGAAGAGGGGGGAACAGAAGAGGGGGGAACAGCAGAGGGGGGAACAGAAGAGGGGGGAACGAGAAGAGGGGGGAACGAGAAGAGGGGGGAATGAGAAGAGGGGGGAACGAGAAGAGGGGGGAACAGAAGAGGGGGGAACAGCAGAGGGGGGAACAGAAGAGGGGGGAACAGAAGAGGGGGGAACAGAAGAGGGGGGAACAGCAGAGGGGGGAACAGAAGAGGGGGGAACAGAAGAGGGGGGAACAGAAGAGGGGGGAACAGAAGAGGGGGGAACAGAAGAGGGGGGAACAGAAGAGGGGGGAACAGCAGAGGGGGGAACAGCAGAGGGGGGAACAGAAGGTGACTTGGTAGGCGAAATGGATGGGAGCTGATACCACATGAAGCTAACTCGCTGGCGCAATGCCGCTAGTGGCGCCATGCAGCTACTGGCGCCATGCAGCTAGTGGTGCCATGCAACAAGTGGGTCAGCAGCGGCAGGGAAGAAACGGGCCATTCCTGCGTGCGCGCCTGACCTGCGTGGACGCCTGACCTGCGTGGACGCCTGACCTGGTTTTGACGCGGTTGAAGATGGCGGTGGCGAGCGGCGGGAAGGAGAGCAGGCAGTCGATGAGGAGGAAGACGGGCAGCGCGAGGCGGATGCGCCAGTCGTCCTGAATGGCCTTGTTGTTCAGCCCGCCCGCGCAGTTCACCAGCACCACGCCCGCCACCACCTCCTCCGGCAGGGCTGCACGCTCAGCAGGGTGGGCCGTGGGAGGGGTGATGAGAGGCGTGCAGCGGGTGGTGAAGGGCGATGGGGCTTGCTGAGCGGTGCGTCGACGGTGGTGGATGGAACGCATGATGGGTGTGACGTCTACTGAGGGTGACTGAAAAACAGAAGCGAGTGTGAGATGTTGTGTGGTGGCGGTGAGCTAAGGGGTGTAGATGGAAATGAAGGGAAGCAGAGGGGGAAGGAGAGGGAGGGGGGTTGGTACACAGGGGGGGGAGAAAGGGGGAGAAAGAGAGGTGATTGAGCGGAGGATGGGAGAAGGTGAGAGATGGGAGAAGGTGAGGGATGGGAGAAGGTGAGAGATGGGAGAAGGTGAGAGATCGAACCAAGAAAACCCAAAACCAGCAGGAGCAAGAGGAAGGGGCCACGGGGGGAAAGACGTGAGGGAGCAATGAGGGGAGGGGCAGAGAGCGCAGTGACCGAGGGGCAGAGAGCGCAGTGACCGAGGGGCAGAGAGCGCACCCGCAGCAGCAGCGAGGGCCACGAGGCTGCCGATGGAGTTACCGACCAGCACCACTCTGCACCGCACCACCTCCGATACGAACGCCTGCAGCATCTGCTGGGCGCGCAGGCAGTGTGGGAGGCAAGGGATGGGCAGGTGGCATGGAGGGTAGGCATGGGTGAAGAGACATGGGCGAGCTGTTGAGCAGTGCAGTGCACAGCTACACTGCCAGCATGGCACCGCACACACAGTGCAGCACCACACAGCACAGCACCGCACACACAGTACAGCACCACACAGCACAGCACCGCACCACACAGCACGTCACCTCAGCCCACGTGTCGATGGTATACTCTATGTTGCTCGGCTTCTCGGACGCCCCCAGCCCCAGCAGGTCCACCGCGAACACGCGCTGCCCTGCCGCCGCCACTGCTGGCGCCGTCCTGCATGAGGGGATGGGGCGAGACGGGGGAGGGGAAGGGGGGAAGAGGAGGGTAGAGGGGGGGTGGGGGAAGGGAGAGGAGGAGGTGGAGCAGGAGGGTAGGGAAGGGAGGCGGAGCAGAACGGGAGGAACACGTGCAAGGGCGATTCTGAGGGGCAGAAAGAAATCAACTATGCCCTTGCCCCTATCACCTGCGCTGCGCCCCTCCCCTTACCACCCTGCGCCAGTGGCCCCATCACCTGCGCCAGTGGCCGATGGATGCGCCGAACCCGTGCACCAGCACCACGGCAGGCGCATCCTCCCTCCCCCACCACGCCCCCTCGCCCCTCTCTCCCGCGCCCCCGCCCGCCCTGGGCGGCAGGTCGCAGTAGTTGATGCTTGCGCCGCGCCACGTCCACCGCCGCTGGCTGGAGAGGATGGCGGAGAGATCCGCGGAGACACCCGCGGGCAGACGCGCGCTGTCAGCGGCGGGGTCCGCCGAGTCGAGTCCGCTGAGGGCGGAATCGCCCGCGCGGGCGGCAGCGGCGGCGGCATCTGCGGCGGCCTGGGGGTCGCCGCCGATCAGAGCGGCCGTGCCGGCTGCGGCGAACGCGCGCTGCTGCGACTCGCCCTGCCGACCGCTTGCTTCGGCGGGGCGCTCGCCATGCGACGAGCGTACGACACGCTGCGACTGGCGACAACGAGCAAATTGAAGGCGCAAGGGTCGTGTGGCGCAAAGCGGTGAGTCGCGGGGTGTGGAAGAGAGGGGGTGAAGCGGCGGAAGCGGCGAGATGAGCGACGCCATGACGGTGCAGGCGGTGGAATGGCGGAGTGTGGCGTGGCTTCGTCGCCAATCACAAGCTCATTCAAATTCAACCCACATCGGGCGTGTCCCCACCGTAGGTCTGATTGCGGTTTGGTTAGGTGCCTTTCGGGTCAGAAGGATCAAATATCATTCCGAAGTGGTGGGGTAGATGTTAAAGCCCAATTCTACATTTGTGGTCGCTAGTTTCAAATGTTTTGGATTTGAAAGTGGGTAACCGAATAACGGAGGGGGAGGACCTCGCGACAGCTCACACGCGTGAGACCGGAAAATGCCGAGCCGTGGTTCCCTTCCCCCAACACGTCGCTCCCCTCGAGGAACATTCGGAGCGCGCAAAAACAGATTCATAACATTTCAACAAAACTAGACCAAATGAACCCAAAGCTCTCAGATGGCCAGGGGCAGGTTTAGCTCATAACCCGCCGAAGACCCACCACGCGTGACGCATAGGCCCTCGCGCAACCCTCCTTTGACGATCCGCAGACGCCATGCACCCTCGCGATATTCCTAAAAATTTCGGCAGGCAGAGAGGCCACCAGATCTACGTACCTAGTAGGCCCTGTTTCAAAGGGAAGTTTGAGACAGCACTAGGCGAGCACGTGCAAGCTGGCGTGCCACCAGCGCAGTCTGATTGGTGTGCACGCTAGGACCCGTCGACAGGGGTGCTCGCGCCATATCCTCGCGCGGCAGAGCAGCGTTGTCTCGAACAAACCCCGGCTTGACCCCGCCACCGTCGACGCCATGCGGCAGAGCGAGCAGGCATCGATGGTCGCACTGAGGTCAGGTCGCCGTCAGCACAGCGTCCCTGCCACTCCACCGTCCCTGCCACTCCACCGTCCCTGCCACTCCACCGTCCCTGCCACTCCACCGTCCCTGCCACTCCACCGTCCCTGCCACTCCACCGTCCCTGCCACTCCACCGTCCCTGCCACTCCACCGTCCCTGCCACTCCACCGTCCCTGCCACTCCACCGTCCCTGCCACTCCACCGTCCCTGCCACTCCACCGTCCCTGCCACTCCACCGTCCCTGCCACTCCACCGTCCCTGCCACTCCACCGTCCCTGCCACTCCACCGTCTCATTCCCCGCATTCCCACCATGCCGCCACGCCCGCTGTTTAGTCCGACCCGCGCTAGCCCGGGCCTGTCTTGGCCTCGCCCCGTGTTCCCCTCTCCCCCTCGTCGCACACCGCGTAGACTTCAGCCGCCGTCGGTCTCCGCGCTGCGGCCTCACAAGCCCTCGTGTGCAAACGCACCAGAGCCTCTTTCGCCGCCTCTCCCCGCCTCCAGCCCCGCGCCCCATTTCTGTGAAGCCCTTCCTCTACTCCCAAATGCCACCTACCCCACCCCCTCCCCTCCACACCCAGCACCCCACCAGCATCGCTCATCGCCCTCCCGCTTGTCAGCCACGACTTCGCCACGACTTGGCAGCGGATGGCGTCGATGGTGGCGGCTTGTACGACACCGGACACACGGCTGGTCCTCACAATGCGTCTGCACGGCCACATGCCCGCGTGGCGCCTCCAAGGCCCGGTGGTGGGTCCACAGCACTCCGCTATTCTTCCTGCGTTGCACCGCCGCACATGCTGCCACGCTTGCCATCGCAGGAGCCACGCTTGGCTCCGTACCCAAGCACACTGAGCAAGCCGCGCCTACCGCCACCATCTTCCCCTCCTGGTCTCCACCATCCTGCCGCCCATCCCGCCCGCGTGCGTTCCCTCTCTGCCCTCCCATCCTCCACAGCGCTGCCTCCGGCCAGCCCCCCCGCTCTCACCCCTGCCCGTGCTCGCTCTCACCCCTGCCCGTGCTCGCTCTCACCCCTGCCCGTGCTCGCTCTCACCCCTGCCCGTGCTCGCTCTCACCCCTTCCCATATCACACCTGCTGTACTCCCCCCCCTACCCCCACCCCACCCCCATACCATACCCCCAAACCCCACACCTGCCACAAAGGCTGCTTCTCCACCCAGGTCTCGATACGAGAATCTACCCGAGCGGATGGGGATGCGCATGCGCCAGCTGGAGGAGGGGAACCTGCCCTGCCCTGCACGACGTGGCGGCGCGGCAGCCATTTCTTACCCTGCCAGCCGTTCTATTCTTTCCCTCCACTCCCTGTCCCACACCCCCTGTCCCACACCCCCTGTCGCACACCCCCTGTCCCACACCCCCTGTCCCACACGCCCTGTCCCACACCCCTTGTCCCACACCCCCTGTCCCACACCCCCTGTCCCACACGCCCTGTCCCCCACACCCTGTCCCACACCCCCTGTCCCACACCCCCTGTCCCACACCCCCTGTCCCACACCCCCTGTCCCACACCCCCTGTCCCACACCCCCGCCCACACGCCCTGTCACACACCCCCTTTCCCGCACCCACTGTCCTATGCAACTTGGCCTGCTGCTGCTTCCCTGCCCTCTCCGCCCAGCCCCTTTTTCCATCCCATCTTACCCACCCGCTGGGTTCAAGCTCAATCCTCAAGTGTATATTTTTGAGTTGACATCTGCTATAAGTGCTGGCCTGCTAGCAGGATACAGTCATAAAGTCACCAGTCCTAACCACTGGGACAAGAAGGGATATCATCAGGAGGGTTAGGCTCCATATATCCACCTTCCCCGGGGAAAGCCTCCCCAGTACCCTCCCTAGAGAGAGAGCGAGAATCGACAGGGTTATCCCAGTGCCATAACACACCCCCCCGCTGGGATAGCGTGTACACCAGAAATTGAACCCCGGATGGCTCTGATACCATTTCAGAGTTAGAACGAATGACTAGAATGAGAGAGTACAGGAGTATATAGCTAGTGGGTTGTACTCTCTACGGCAAGACCCTATGTAGTCTACTAAGCATACACAAATATGTTTTAACACCTCTGACTGTCCATTTGTAATACCATTTCACCGAGTGCCATTTGTGAGACCATTTCTGGTGCTTGGCACAGTTGGGTTTAGGAGGCATGGGAGCTAAAATAAGCCAGGGTGCCCAACATCTGTGATGCAAGATCCATGGTTGCCTAGAACCAGTTGATGCTAGTGCACCACAATCTCCAGCCAATCCCTGAGTTGCTCATGCTCACAAGCTCATTGGCCAAGCGCCCAAGGGGTACCGTTACAAGATTACAAAACACCACATTAAAAAAATCTGAGAACAGGTTGCCGCATGATCTCTAGCGATAGGTGTAGTAAGAAAGCCAGCCCATATATCCACAGTGAACAACTTGGGCGTCCCGGGAAGGCCCGCCATCCTATGCTAACAAGATCAGCGCAACGGGAGGCATGTTCATGTCAGAGTAATGGCAAGGGATGTCAACTTATACATATATTGTTACGTAGAAGTTATAGGCTAGATAGGGTATGTTCTTAGTGGGTACAACCCAAACGCTATATCTCCCCTGTTCTCCCTTCTTCTATTCATTCTTTCTAGTCTCAACATGGTATCAGAAGTAGGTAGGTCCACCCACCCGCTTCCGCCCCGTGTCGCCACCTACCGGACCCTCGCGCCCCTAGTTGGCCCCGCACGCCCCTATGGCCCCGTCGCGCCCCTAGCAAGCCCCGTCGCACCCCTACGGCTCCGTCGCGCCCCTACGGCCCCGTCACGCCCCTAGCAGGCCCTGTCGCGCCCCTACAGCCCCGTCGCGCCCCTAGCAGGCCCCGTCTTGCCCCTACCGGCCCCGTCGCGCTCCTACGGCCCTGTCGCGACCCTAGCCGGCCCAGTCGCGCCCCTACCGGCCCCTTGCGCCTCTAGCCGGCCCCGCGCGCCACTACGGCCCCGTCGCGCCCCTACCGGTCCCTCGCGCCCCTAGTCGGCCCCATCGCTCCCCTACCGGCCCCTCGCGCCCCTAGCCGGCCCCTCGCGCCCCTATGGCCCCTCGTGCTCCTACTAGCCGGCCCCACGCGCCCTTGCCGGCCTCGCTCGCTCTAGCCGGCCCCTTGTGGCCTAGCCGACCCCTTGCGCCCTAACCGGCCTCGTCGTCTGAGCCGCCGAGCCGCCGTGTCCCCGAGCCGCCGAGCACCCGCGCCGACGAGCCGCCGAGCCCCCGAGCCACCGTGCCGCCGAGCCGCTGCGCTGCCGTGCCGCCGTGTCCCCGAGCCGCCGAGTCGCTGCACCGCTGAGCTGCTGTGCCGCTGTCACACTTAGCGATGGCGGACGCCGTTCTTCGCTTGGACGCTGAGGGACACGCGATCGACTTCGCCGCCTGGCTCGTCGACCTCCGCCGGCACCTGACAAGTCAACACCAGGATGGGCACTCCCTGGCTATGCTTGTTGATGGTTTGCTTCCCCGCCCCCCTACGCCTGATCCCCTCCCTCCTGACCCTACCACTCCTGAGAGCGAGGCTTTTGCTGCTGCTGTGCTTGCTCGAGCGTCTGGGATTCTCGCGACGCAGTAGCCCAGCTTGCCATTAGCCATGCCCTCCCCCTGTCTGAGCGTCCGCACTTTAGCGCTGTCGTGAACGCCAAGGACTTTCTCGTTGCAGTAGTAGAGCGTTACTCCACACCTGCTTCCACCTCTGCTGGCCACTTGATCCTACCCATGCTCTTCCCTGATCTTTCTGCTTTCCCCACGGTAGCTGACCTCGCTACTCACCTCCGTGCACTAGAGACCAGCTGCCGCGCTGCTAGCTCTGCCGCCCAGCTTACTACCTTCCCCCCACCTTTCTGCGCTACCCTGTACCTCATCGCCATGAGCCTACCTGACCGCTTAACCACTGCCCGCGACCACTTCCTTAGTCAGCACCCTGCCAACCTCACCCTAACCGCCTTTGTCACTATTCTGTCTGAGATGGAGACTCGCCAGCGCATTATCGCTCAGTCGAGCGGTGTTGTGCCCCCTAACTTTCAAGGCTGTGCCCCCTCCCAGTGCACGTACGCTGATGTCTCTGCCGCAGTTGCCACGACTGCACCTGCACCTGAGACAGCAGCTGCGGCTTACCCGCAGCAGCGCCAGCGCCGGGGCCGCCGTGGCCCCAAGGGAGGACGTGGAGGTGGCGCTAGTGGTGGTGGTGGCGGGGACAGTGGTTCTGACGAGGGGGTTGGTGCTGGTGCCCAGGAGCAGCAGCAGTCGCCGCAGTCGCAGCCGCCGTAGCAGCAGTAGCCGTCACAGCAGCAGCAGCAGAAGCAGCAGCCGCAGCAGCAGCAGCCGTAGGCTCATCTCCCGCCCGGGTGACCAGGAGCCCCTGGCGGTGGTGGTCGTGGTGGTGGCCCTCGCAGCTCGGCGTCCACCGGCAGCTTCGGTGCTGTGAGTTGCCAGTACCAGCTTCAGACCGGGCCTCTGCATGGCACGGTGTGCCACCGCTCGCACACCACCGCCCGCTGCTTCTGCCGCCTCGACGACCTCTTCTGTCGCCGCTTTGGTCCCGCCCTTGACCTCCCTGACTGGCCCAGCCTGCTGCGCTACAGTGTGCCTGTGTTTGACTTAGACATGGATTAGATTAGTTCTGCCTTGCATTCTCTGTATGCTGACGCTTCGAGTGTTTCCGGATCCTATTACTCTGTGTTCTCTAGCTTAGGCGTAGCACCTGTGTGTAGTCCAGACTCCCCTGCTGCGTCAGGCGTAGAACAGCTTGCTTTGTCTAGCCTAGGCTCTACCCTTGCTCCTCCGTCGTCGGCCACTACGACGTCGCTGTCCTTCACTCTAGACTCCAGTGTGTCAGCCTGCTTCTTTCGCGACCACGCCGCCCTCACGCCGCTTGCTGCGCCTGCCGCTGTCACCCTTGCGGACCCCTCCTCCGATCCTGTAGTTGCTCGCAGCTACACTACCCTTCCCTGTCCGGCGGTTCCCTCGAGTTCGCTTACAGGCTTGCACATCCCTTCGTTCTCCAGGAACTTAGTTGGTGTCGGCTGTCTTCAGGACCTCGGCGTCACAACTACGTTCCCTGGTCACGAGCGGTACGTGGTCTGTTCCGAGGCCGCCTCAGGTGCTCCCCTTGCGACGTTCCCCCGGAACCCTGTGTCTAGCCTATTTACGCTGGACACTGCTCCCCCCCCCCGGCGGGCGATTCCTCCTCTGGTTCTGCATCCACCCAGGTAGCTGCGGCCTGCTCGTGTCGGTCACTCACTCACCCATCACTGTTGTGGCACCACCGCCTAGGTCACCCCGCGCTCCCCCGCCTGCGTCACATGTCTCCGCACGGTCTAGTCCTCGGCCTCCCTGCATCGCTCCCTGCTCTCCCTCCCTCGCGTGCGCCGTCGTGCACACCCTGCGTTGAGGGCCGGCTGCGCCGTGCTCCTCACTCCTCCTCAGACCGTGCACTTGGACGTTTGGGGCCCAGCCCCTGTCCCTGGACCGCGTCGCGAGCGCTACTTTCTGGTGCTCGTTGACGACTTCACACGCTACACCACGGTGTTTCCCCTGGAGCGGAAGGCCGACGTGCCTGACGTTCTTATCCCGTGGCTCATCGCTGTGCGCCTCCACCGTGGTCTCCCTTTGCTGTGTCTCCTCTCCGACCATGGCGGCGAGTTCGCCTCTGATCGGCTGGGTCAGTTCTGTCGTGCAAAGGGTATCACCCAGACGTACACCCTACCGGACTCCCTGCAGCAGAATGGGGTCGTTGAGCGACGCATCGGGTTGGTCATTGAGGTGGCTCGTACCTCCATGATCCATGCCGGTGCACCCCATTTTCTATGGCCGCTCGCCGTTCGCTACGCCGCTCACTAGCTTAACCTCTGGCCTCGCTCTCAGCGGCCGCAGGTTTCGCCGACCCTTCTTTGGACCAAATTCTCTGGTGACGCGTCTGCGTTCCACATCTGGGGCTGCCTTGCTCACGTTCGTGCCTCCGGCACGGACAAGCTCACTGCCCGCACCGTCCCCTGTGTCTTCCTCGGTTTCCCCCTTGACTCGTCTGACTGGCACTTCTACCACCCCCCGTCTCACCGCTTCCTTCACTCCTGGAACGTCACTTTCGACAAGTCTGTCTCCTTTTCCACTGCTTTCCTTACCGAGAACTCCTGGTTCCCCCCCCATGTTTTTGGTTCCCACTCCCCCGGTCGCCCCTGCTCCCCTCCCTCCCCGTCCTGCTCCGTCTGGTGTGTCTCACGTCACTCCCCTCCCGTCAGTTGTCCCAGTCGAGAAGTCGGCTGACTCCAGTGGCCCTGTAAAGCAGTCTCCGCCGCCTATCCCTCCCCCGGTGTCTCCTCCTCCCTCCTCGCAGTCGGCGCCGCAGCCGCAGCCATCGCCGCAGCCGCCGCCGCCGCCGCCGCCGCAGCCGCCGCCGTCACCGCCGCCGCAGCTGCAGCCGTCGATGCAGCCGCAGCCGTTCGTGGACTCTGGGGGTGCTGGAGTTGGAGAGGGTGCTAGTCCTGGGGCTCCTAACGTGGCTTGTCCCAGCGGGCTCGGGGGTGGTACCGGCGCTGGAGACGTTTCTGGTTCTGGGGGTGTTGGCGTGAAGTGTACTGGAGGTAGCAGTGGTGCACCTGGTGGTCCAGGTGTTGGCGTTGAGCAGCAGCAACAGCAGTCGCCGCCGGTGTCCGCCCTTCGCCTGCTCGGCCTTTCCTCCCCTGACCACTCGCCGGCACCTCCCTCGCCGTCTCCCACTCTTCCTATTCACAGTCCTGTGTTTCCTCCGCTGGACTCGTCCCCGGCTCGTTTCCCCTCTCGCTCCCCTCCTGTTACTCCTCCTCTGTCTCCTGACCCAACGCCTCCGTCTCACGACTGGTCTCGCCGACCCTCTCGTGCTCGTCCTGTCTCTCCTGTTCAGCGTTCTCACCCTATGTTGCTTCGTTCCCACGCATCTCGTCCTCCCCTCCTGCCTTCGCCTCCTCCGTCGTCGCTCACTGTCACGCCTCCCCCTCTGTCTGACTACCTTCGTGCTGCTCGTCCTCTTGTTCCTCGGGTCCTTGCCTCCCTCGTTACCGACCCGTCTGTTCGTGTCTCCCGTCTTGACGCTCTTGTAGCTGCTGTCGCT